ACACGCAGTGGTAGTGGACACAATTTCGTCTGCTGCAGCAGCAAATGATGAAATAGCTGTACACCGCTGCATGGCTCCTACAGCAGGAGAACTGCTGCTGCTGCTGCTTTTCTTTACCAGCAGCAGCAGCAGCAGCAGCAGCAACAGCAACACCAGAAGCAACAGTAGCAGGAGCAGCAACAAAAGCCAGCAGCAGCAGCAGCAACGACAGCAGCATCCACCGCAGCAACAGCATCCACAGCATTCCCAGCATCCACAGCAGCAACAGCATCCACAGCAGCAACAGCATCCACAGCAGCAACAGCAGCAGCAGCAGCAGCAGCAGCAGCAGCAGCAGCAGCAGCAGCAGCAGGTGTTACCATGGGTAGTGGCACTTGAGAGTGAAGAGAAGAGGCCCCATCAAAGGAAACAGAATACGGGGGCAGAGAGGCAGCGGCAGCCGCCGCAGCATGTCAACAAACTGGCGTGCTTGCTGCTGCTGCTGCTGCTGCTGCTGCTGCTGTATCTGCTGACGGTGTTCCTGCTGCTGTTGCTGTTGCTGTTGCTGCTGTTGCTGTTGCTGCTGCTGCTGCTGCCGCTGCTGCTCTGCCTGCATAGAAGAACTATCGACAGAACCTGCAACTGCAGCTGGAGCAGCACAACCACCAGCAGCAGCAGCAGCAGCAGCAGCAGCAGCAGCAGCAGGATCAGCTCTGGGAGGAGAGTCTGATGGCACGCACGACTCAGGCGGATGCTGCTGCTGCGGCTGCTGTTGCTGCTGCTGCTGCTGCTGCTGCTGCTGCTGCTGTTGCTGTTGCTGCTGCTTTTGGTCCTTCTGCTGTTCGGATTCAGGTGAGGAGCTCTGCTGCTGCTCTGTTGCTGCATGCGTATGCTGCTGCTGCTGCTGCTGCTGCTGCTGCTGCTGCTGCTGCTGGTGCTGGCGTTCATCTTCTTTGAGTAGTGCTTGCTGCTCCTCCTGCAGCAGCAACTTGAGTTGCTGCTGCTGCAGTGGTGTGAAGGGGACGGGGACGCTGCTGCTGAGTATCTGCTGCTGCAGCAGAGCAGCATATGCTTCCTGCTGCAGCACACGGCTAGCTAGCTGGTGATAGAGAGAATCAATGGAGACCTCCAGCAGCAGCAACTCACCGCATGCTGCTTCTTCTCCTCTGCTGCTGCTGCTGTCACGTGCTGCTGCTAGAGCACCCCGCACAGACCCCACCTGCTGCAGCAGCTCAAAGCAGCTGCATCGAACGCTGCAGCAACCGCATGCGTGCCGCTGCTGCTGCTGCTGCTGCCGACGCTGCTGCTGCTGCTGCTGCTGCTGCTGCTTGTATGAAGGCTCCATGGGGCAGCGGGATACAGCAGGGTGTGTTGCAATCACTTGCAGCTGAACCAGCAGCTCACCGTAGCGGTCATGGTGCTGCTGCTGCTTCTGTTGCTGCTGCTGCTGATGCTGCTGCTGCTGCTGCTGCTGCTGCGGTGCATGCAGTCGGTGGCAGTACAGCACCACAGCTAAGGGGACAACAGGGACAGGCAGCGCCTTAGAGAACTCCTCAGGGAGACAGTAGCTGCTGCGCGCCTTGCTGCTGCTGTTGCTGCTGCTGCTGCTGTTGCTGCTGCTGCTGTTGTTGTTGTTGCTGCTGCTCGGGGTACCAGACGGCTGCTGAGGAGGAGACGAAGGAAGCACAGGAGGAGCAGCAGTAGTAGTGGGTGCTCCTGCTGCAGCAGCAGCTGCTGCTCTTGCTGCTGCTGCTGCTGCTGCAGCAGCAGCAGCAGCAAAGCGATCGTGCTTACAGTCAGAAAGGAGACAGCTCTCCAGCGCCAAGTGCTGCTCCGCCCCCAGCAGACACAGCAGCTGCTGCAGCTGCGACAAGGGGACACTCAACGCCTTCAGCTGCTGCGAGACAGAGACACTCTCCTGCTGCTGCTGCTGCTGCTGCTGCTGCTGCTGCTGTTGTGGGTCTTGCTGCTGCTGCTGCTGCAGTTGCTGCTGCAGATCAACGAGAGAGCTCATTGCGCTAGAGTCTGTCTCTGTGTCTGGGTCGGTTCCTGTGT